TGTGATACGTATCACATCACCAAAGTCTTGCTAATACACAGCCCTAGTAGAGATTAATGAAGACCAAATGTTTTCTTTGTCCAATAGGACATACAGGAAAATTTGTTATAGATAATTGTTTTTCAACAATTCTTGACAGAAATCCGCCCTCGGCCTGGACCCGGTTTTGAATTTTGTCCTTTTGAATTTTGTCCGCTTGTGTAACTAAGTTTGACACGCCTGCTCTGTGTTTACTCAGGTTCCAACAGGCAGCCTGTGCACGGTGCATGAATACAATAATGCACATGTTTACYTAAAGATAATTAAGTTGAACTAAAACGACTGTGCAATGGAGTCAAAACTGTTTATTCCCACTAAACTGTCTAATGATTGGATGAATTATTAGCAGTACCTTTATATAAAGGCTGAATATATCTTTACAGTGGTGAATGTAAAACTAATTTGGAATTTTAAAGCCTGTTGAGTGAGGCAGTGAAAGTTTTGAAGTATTTCTCCTATGATGTCATCTCGTTCCCTGCTGGGATGTATTTACTCTCTCTKTTTGTAGATAAACAGAGAAAATAACCCACAGATTAAAAAAACTTGGATCAGGAAACATGATTTTATAGATGTTATGTAGCTTTTAGAGTTGACAGGAAACCAGCTTTTACTGCATGCTTTAWATGCAAACACACCAAATATCCAATTCTTCTTCATTCCATTGATTTAGATACATGAAAACCACTCTTAGGTGACATATCCGTAAGGCATGTGCCATTTTAATGTAACTTATAATCTGTTTGATTGCAGGTTGTCATGGTTTCCTTCAGGAGATAAGGCTGGTTTTTAACGTTCTCTGAATTGGCTCGCTGTACTGTGGTTACCCTGCCCGACATAACCTGACGTACCCACAGGAACAACCAGTGACAAGGGCATGCACACCTATAATCATGAGAGTGCAGGAGAAAGCAGAGGTGTGTACACACAAATACCTGCTGATTCATTCAGTAGTCGCTCGGCGAACATTTGACAAATGCCTGCACAGAATCCCAAGAAAAAAAAGGCATGATAAGACTTGTGTCGATACCAGCTTAAATGACATTTGCATATAAATAACAAATAAGTGCACTTATTGGCAGTGATGTTTTTTTATCTCCAAATATTTGGTGGGGAACCAAGTRAATTCCATTCTTCTGTAGACTTCTCTAATATTCACAGCAGGAAAAGATGATCAGCCTGATGGAAGAAGTTAAGATATTGAAACTGATGGTGCAGGAGAAAGACAAGAGAATATCTGAACTGGAAAGAAGAGTGGATGATTTGGAACAATATTCAAGCAGAGAGGAGGTCATCACATCTGGACTGAAAACAAGACACAGAAAATACGCTCGAGTTGCTCGAGTTGCTCGAGTTGCTTCAGGTGAAATTACATCAGAGGATGCACCACGGGGTGAGATGCAAACACTGATTGAATTGCTGGGGTTGGTAAATGTTTAGAAATATCCTGATGTGATAATAGGTGTWATAGCTTCTYGTTATAAAGTTTTCGTAAAAATTCCTTATAGTTTTGACATATTTTGTTTGTCAAAAMAKAGGGAGTTGAAGGAAATTTTGTAACTAATTCATTGATTAGATGCAGTATCATTTTTTATACTTTTTGAWCATTTCAGCCTTTAAGTTAAAGCAGACAAAGAGTTGGTGTGTGTCTTATCATGTGTTCTTTCTTTTAGCCTAAATAAAATTGAGTTACGTTCTACGTCTGACATAAAAGGTAACATCTCCAGAGGTGTAGCCAGGAAGAGATGAACATTATAAGCTCAATTCATTATTATRGTWAAAAGAAGTTGTCAGTGTTTGGCAGAGTCTCTGCTTTAGAACAGGGCTCYTGTGTTTTGTTTTGATTTAGCTCAAGGTCTYACACTGAGGCCTGTGTGCTGAGTGCTGTACCTGATTGGAGTCAGAAGATTGCGAATAAAGTTTTAAAGAAGAAATCCAGCSGATTTATGTTTATTCAGACTTACCATTTTGAACAACGCACATTTTTCCTACAATGTCAACAAAGCATATGATTCATTCATGAATACTTTGGGAAGTTTGTATGAAGAAAAATTTTGATAAGAAAGATGTTGTTGACAAGGATGACCAAAGGGTTGAGAAATGCCTGTAAAAAAAGAACGATTTGTATTTATCTTTCTTAAAATTAAGAACAAAAGAAGCAGAAGACAGATACAAGGACTATAAAAATAAATGAATATGTATTACAAAAAAACAAAAAGAATATTACAGTAATTTATTAAGCAAATGTAATGGCGACACAAAAGCAACATGGGGAGTAATGAATGTTTTAAAAAACATAAGCTACAATCAGGTATTTCACAATACTTTGTAAAAGATAATAAGGAAAAATATGATCCAAGTGAAATAGCTAAAGAATTTAATCATTGTTATGTTAATGCTGGTCCAAGTCTTGCTGCTCAAATACCAAAAGCTGATAATGACGTGACTCAATCMGAAGTTGTGCAAACAGCATCTTTCTTGGTGAAACTGATGAGGAAAAAAATAATGAGTGTTGTMAAAAGAAATTTCGGATAACAGGTCAAAAGATTGGATGGACATGGACATGATGTTTGTTAAGGAAATAATGTGTTATGTTATTAAACCCTTTACATATGTATGCAATTTCTCATTTTCAACTGGAATATTTCCAAACAATATGAAAATAGCCAAGGTGATTCCCATTTATAAAAATGGTGAGAAATGTATACTTAGTAATTACAGACCAATATCCTTTTTACCACAGTTCTCAAAAATCTTAGAGAAGTTATTTGTGATCAGATTAGATCAATTCATCATTAAATATAATATTTAAAGTAGCAGTCAATATGTATTTAGAGCCAATAACTCTACTTCAATGGCTCTCATGGAACTGACAGAACAAATAACAAATGCTATAGATCAAAAATAATTTTGCGCTAGTATTTATGTTGATTTAAAGAAAGCATTCGACATGATTGACCACAGCATTTTCCTTGAAAAACTATATAAACATGGGATTAGAGGACCATTACAATGGATATCTAGTTATTTGGATAAAAGGAAACAGTTTGTACAAGTACATTATGTCAGACCTGAACAATGTGGAATCACGTGGAGTTCCTCATGGTTTTTTACTTGGCCCAAAACTATTTATCCTATATGTGAATGACTTGGTCAGTGTGTCAGGATTATTTAAATGTGTTTTGTTTGCTGATGATACCATATTTTTTTATTTGGGTAAAGAATGAATGTTAGAGAAAATGAAAGCAGAACTTGTGAAAATACAAACCTAGTTTAAATTCAACAAATTATCATTAAATTTGGACAAAACTAATTATATGACATTTACGAAGAGACAAAGAACTGTTAATATTCCATTTAGAGTTGATGGTGTGGAGATTGGTAGAGTCAATGAGGTAAAGTTTTTGGGTGTTATTGATGAGAAACTGACATGGAAACCTCATTTAAATTACTTAATAAAACTAGTTAAATCTATTGCATTGCTTTACAAAGTAAGGGACTTGTGTAATGATAAAGCTCTGTATATGTTATAGAACACATTAACCAGGAACTTGGTCTATTGTGTTGAGGCATGGGATAAAGCATGTAAGACTATGTTACAAATCCTGTTTTTGTTTGGCAGAAAAGGGCTATAAGAGTTATCACTCAAAAAAATCTATCACTATCCATCTAATATATTATTTTGTAAACTGAAATTATTGAAATTCTATGCTTTGGCTGATTATAACATTTGTTAGTTATGTATAAAGCACACCAAAACACATTACCTTTAAACATTCAGATAAACTTTGCGAAGAGAGAGAGAGCTGTTCTAATCTACAGGGAATAGAGATGTTCATGAAACCTAAATTTAGAACATGTTTGAAAGAACGGTGCACCTCAATTCAAGGAGTGAGATTGCGGAATAATCTGGGAGATGATGTTAAAACTAAAATACTACTACTACTACTACTACTACTACTACTACTACTACTACTACTACTACTAAAATAATTGATAAAGGTAAATAAATTGTAGCTACATCTGTGTTTAAATACTCAGTAATCAGTAATTTATTACAGCATCAGTGTGCAAACTGAGTGACACTGTCCCAGGGTCACGTTGAGGCAAATAAGGGCCCCGGAACACCTTCAGAATAACAGGTTCTTCAAAGTGACTGCTGGCATGTGTTCATCGTTTGACAACACATAAAAAAAACACATAAATGTCATACCACTGTGGTGTGAYGAGGACAGGAAACCTGCATGTGCTCCTGCTAAGACGTTGCCACCCTGAGGCTGATTATCAACATCAATCCCATCAGTCAGGTGTTAAAAGCTCAAAAGGTGTGAAGCTGGTAGTTGAGCATCTCACCGAGATGCAGTTCTGTAACAGAGCCATATGGTACATCGTCTCTCTTCAAACCTGAGTCTTAAAGAAATCCTTGAACGTACAGGGCATTCACTCTGATTGCATTTTCCACTTGTTCCACCATCACTGTACAATAAATAAAAACAACCTGGACTAATTTAACCTTGTGTTTGGGACAAGAGTACTGGACAATGTTCCCGAAAGGAACGCAGTGATCAAGAAGAACCTTAAGCCTCCATAATTGAGCTTAAAGAGCCAAGAGTTAATTGGAAATCACTCACCATGGGCAGAATTAGTGACTTGAAATCATTCCAGGTAGCCATGTGTCGGCAGGGCTGGCCCGTCACATAGGCAGTACAGGCAAGTGCTAAATGCTCTGTCAATCTTGGAGGCGCCACAAATGGGAAAAAATAAAAATCACACAAGGGAGGCCACCTGAAATCTAGAGCYGGTCCTGTGTGTTGACACTCAGCACAGTGATGTTGGCCCAAACAGGTGTGCCTCCATTTTGACAAGATGTAGGAATTTTAATAATGTCCCAAAACATTCAACAAGATTATTTTCTGGTGGATGTAGGAGATAAGCCTGGTCTGTAGGGCTTTGACCACAGATGASAAAACAACTGAATTAAGAGAGTTTATGAAAAAGAGGAAAAATAAGAGTAAAAATGTAGATCTGTAGGAACCGATGTAGACTGAAAAAAGATGAAAAATTGTTTGAAGGAGTGCAGTTCGGAGCTGAGCCTTATGTAAAAGCCCTGTAAGTAGATTTCGGGCGAAGTGCCAAGAGTTTGCAAACTTCTAAAAATACAAGTCCAATTTTTCAAATCTTCTTTTCATGTCAACAAAGTCTTCGAAGATAATTTCCCTAATCATTCAGCTCTGACCCAAAAAAAATCTTATTTGACTTGTTTTGTGATGGATGGCTCCCTCTTAGACTGCAAAGATTAAAGACATCCAAARTCAATTAAATGTTCTATCGACTCTAAATGTTATTAAAGTGTCTCACGGTGAGCACAATGTCCCAAATAAACAAACTGTTTTATTAACACGTCTAATGTTTAAACCCAAACAAGTTTAAAAGGGCATCCATGTTTTACCATAAAGAAGCAGATGCTATGGATTAGTCTAAAATGGGCATAAAGTGGGAGGAGAYGGGAATGAAGACACCTCAGAYTTTCAGACTCAAAATATGACAATAYGTGGTGACTAAATCTGAAAAGACAGGGGTGTCCAATCCTGGTTCCTGAGGTTCACTATCCTGCATATTTTAGAGGTTTCTCTGCTCCAACGCGTTTAATTTGGATGAATGAGTGATCAACAGTGAGAACCAGTTTTTCTATTTGTTCTAAGAGTTTGTTCTTCATTCCTTTGTGGTCTATTATCTTTGTGTTATTTTACTTGTGTCTTACCTTTCATTCAGTCCTTTTTCTCCTCAGTCAGTACCGGCRCCTGCCACGCCCACTCTCACCTTGTCTCCCCAGGTGTTTGTCATTTGTTCRCAAGTGTCGCCCTTTAACATGTTTGCTTCTTCTGTGTTGTGTCTGAGTCAGTGGAGCATAGTTCTACCAGCTTCTGATCCTTGCCTCCAGTGTTTGTTTCAGGTTTTGAAAGTAGAATTGCCTGCCTCGACAGCTGGGGGTATTATGTATTTTCCAGGCATAAGTAACTATGTTACTTCAGTTGTTATGAAAATGCTGTATATATCAAAAATTAATTTCTAACTGCCTTGAAATTGGCCTCTGTATCTTTAAAACCCTCCTACCATTTCTGACATTGGTGCTCTGTACCTGCAAGGGGTTATACAGTTCCATATGAATACATATTTTACAATCTGTGAGTAACTTTCAACATTTAGTWTAGTTTCAATTCTTTTTCCTTTATGTTTGGAACTTGTATGTTTAATTATGCTGCATTTCAGTTAGTTTGCACTAATCGGTGGAGCCCAAATATCAAATATGTGAACAAAAAGCCACAAATTACCTTCCAAGAGAGGGAAAATGGTGATATCCCC